AAAGCGCCACTTTTTTGACAGGGCGTAATTTCGAAGTGTGATTAGGTAGGAGGTTGCCGTTTGGCAGGAAGATAGGCTCATATGTTGGCATCAGACCCCTAAAAGCGCAAACCTTGATCTCGAACGGTTCGCGAGCTGTGGGGCCTAACGCATCGCGACACCCCACTTCGCAGTGTGGTTAGGAAACAGAGGTTGCTTTGTTACGCTCCGCTGACCGATTGGGGGGTCGGATCCGGCTGAAAATTTAGGGGAGTACTCTCCTAGGTACAGCCGACATAATGCCGTGTCAGAAAACCGCCCTTGCGAACTTCCAACCCTTTCTAACCACCCCTTAATTGCCGAATCATGATTTGATCATTTAAAGACGGCCCCTCGGGTAAAATTGAGTGCCGGCGGTCGCCGTGTGACGTGGGCTCAATGTTTTAATGTCCCCTACCGGATAGCAGTGATTTTCGCCCCCTCCAACCACTCCAGGCTCACCGATAGCTACCACCCCTCAACCCCACTTTCTGGATCCGCCCCTAAAACGCATGTTTCTGAGTCAAATTTTTCGTGACAATAATCAGATTGACAGATAAACGCCCCTACCATTCAAAACAGCCAAAAACGGAACCCAAAAACGTCTTTTTCATCAAATTCACGGCACTTTTTAACGCTTGGTGCAGTTAGTCCCCTTGACGGGCCCTGGGGGGTTCGGAAGGGTGCGCCAGTGTCTGGGTTTGTTCGTAATGTCATCCTGGACAAGACTGACGGCATTCCACGCAAAAAATCCATGGAAACTCTCGCAGAAATGTCAACACGTGATCGGGGTTGGCAAAATCAACCCCTACTTTAGGGGGTTGTACCGGGTGAACGCGTGGGGTGGCCGACTTGGCCCGCCCGTCAAAAGGTGTGCCCGACCTTCATCTTGAAGGGCGTGAGGAATCAGACACCTCCTCCGATTGCTTCCTGGTGAAATTCGCTACGGCCTGAGACACTAGGTGTCCACTCCGGGCGAGAAAGCCGCGCCGTTTGCTGGGAGCGTATAGGCGCTCCCTTCCAGAGTGGACACCTAGTGTCTCAGGCCGTAGCGAATTTCACCAGTAAGCAATCGGAGGAGGTGTCTGATTCCTCGCGCCCTTCAAGATGAAGGTCGGGCACACCTTTTGACGGGCGGGCCAAGTCGGCCACCCCACGCGTTCACCCGGTACAACCCCCTAAAGTAGGGGTTGATTTTGCTAACCCCGATCACGTTTTGACATTTCTGCGAGAGTTTCCATGGATTTTTTGCGTGGAATGCCTTCAGTCTTGTCCAGGATGACATTACGAACAAACCCAGATACTGGCGCACCCTTCCGAACCCCTCAGGGCCCGTCCAGGAGCCTAACTGCACCAAGCGTTAAAAAGTGCCGTAAATTTGATGAAAAAAACGTTTTTGAGTTCCGTTTTCGGCTGTTTTGAATGGCAGGGGCGTTTATCTGTCAATCTGATTATTGTCACGAAAAATTTGACTCAGAAACATGCGTTTTAGGGGCGGATCCAGAAAGTGGGGTTGAGGGGT